GGCTGAGGTAGGAGAATTGCTTGAACCCGGGAGGCAGAGGTTGCAGTGAGCCAAGATCACACCACTGCACTCCAGTCTGGGTGACAGAGCAAGACTGTCTCAAAAATATAAAATAAAATAAAATAAAGTAAAGTAAAATAAAGTAAAGTAAAGAAAAGTAAAGTAAAGTAAAATAAAATAAAAAATAAAAGAAAATGGATCCTTGACATATAAAGTTCAAGAACCATAGATGTAAATCCCATTGACCTGGATTAACATTTAATGTGATTTCCAGCTCATTCATCAGTCAAAGAACAACAACAGTTTTCTGTAAGACTTACATGTCAGGGATTTGAGGATTAACAAACTGACAGCAATGTATTGTGATACAATGAAAACAATTAGCTGACAAGTGATACTACTGCTAGGATATCTCCTACTCATGCTAGTCGTCCTGGATTTATTTAAAGAAAAAAAAAAAAAAAAGAGTGTCACCTTAAAAATAAAAGGTGGAGCCAGGGACAGTGACAGTGGTGCACCCATCTTCTCAACTGCTCGGGAGCTGAGGTGGGAAGACTGCTTAACCCCAGGAGTTCAACTCCAGCCTGGGCAACATGAGGAGATCTCACCCACCTCTAAACAAATAAATAAAAGTTGGAAGAAAAGGTGTACAGAAACCAAAAAAACCATTCATGGAACACCTACTCAGTGCCATGTGCCTGTCACTATGCTCTATCACATTGCCTCTCTTAATTTAGTCACATGAGGACTTTCTGAAGGTCACAGAGGAATAGATGTAAGAAGAGAGGCGAGTTTGCTGCTTCAGTTCATTGTACTTTACATTGTACAGTTTCACTCTAGTTTATAATGCCAAATGCAACTGACAGGGTGCCAATAGCACTTCCCAGATTTCACAGCCTGAAAACTGGACACTGCGGTGTCTCTGAAACACAACCACCAACAGCTCTGAGCTCATCACTGGAAAATGTTTCTAAAATAACTGAAGTTCGGGCCAGGTGTGGTGGCTCACGCCTGTAATCCCAGCACTTTGGGAGGCCAAAGCAGGTGGATCACCTGAGGTCAGTAGTTTGAGACCAGCCTGGCCAACATGGCGAAACCCCATCTCTACTAAAAATACAAAATTAGCTGGGCGTGGTGGTGCATGCCTGTAATCCCAGCTACTCAGGAGGCTGAGGCAGGGGAATTGCTTGAACCCAGGAGGCAGAGGTTGCAGTGAGCCGAGATCACGCCACTGCACTATGGCCTGGGCAACAGAGCAAGACTCCATCTCAAAAAAAAAGAAAAAATCAAAGTTTTGAGGTACCAATGTGCCCTGGAACAGGCTCCTGCGAACCTCAGTTCAAATCTCACCTTAGCCCTGAGTAAACGGCCTCTCCCCGCTACACTGCAGATTCCTCAGCAGTATGGGAATAACGGAGGACCTACCTCCCTGGGTTGTAGTGAGGATGACACAAAACAAGCATGAAAGTGTTCAGCTTACAGGAAATGCTCTGATACTACCAGTTGCCTCACTCCTCCTCCATTTTCACATCCTTTAAAAAGGCAGGGGTTTGATTTTGGTGGCTGTTTTTGCCTTTTGCCTGGTCAAGTAATCTGTCTCAGGGACTAGAAATCACCTTTCCTAGTAGTTACACTCTCCTCCTCCATACAGGTAAGCACTCGGCTCCTTAGTAAAGGAGCCTGAATTTGTTTTGTTTTGTTTTGCTATAGTTGCTTGTTGTGATTTTTCAAATTAGGAAAATGTTTTCATGTGTGCTGATGAAACTGTATTGTGAAACACATTGTATTTAACATACCAAGTAGTAGTAAGAATAAAGGACAACTAAAAAGCTTGAAAATATGGATTTCAGGGTCTCAGTACCAGAAAGTTGAACTGGGTGGGTATGGGGCAGGCACCAGGAATCTGTAACTGAGTGCACGTGGTTTTCACCACAGTAAAATACGTTGATGTAGGGTAATCAACTCACAATACTGACCTCCTAGGATATCACCTCCTAAAGGCTACAGCTTTTGTTACAAAATAACTTGATACATCAGCATTAAGTATAAAGGATAAATGTATTCAATCTTAAAAATCCATAATATCCCATATTCTAAGTTACATAATTCACACTTTAACATGTATTTGTATCTTGATAGAAGAAAACGTTACTAGTCACTACATAAATGTTTGTGTATTCTCCAGTTAACACACTCTGGGAGTATCTCAAACCCTTATGCGGTTAAATGTAACCATCCCCTCTTTCACTTCCACATTTCCTAGGTGCTAAACTTACATTTTGACCCTCTGCCTCTCTGGTCCAGCAGGTGGAGCTGGGGAACCTGTGGAAGGCAGGACAGCAGGGCATCTAGCAGCAATCGCCTCCTTGCTAAGGGACGTTGGTGAAAAAGGAAAGTATAGTAGTCTTCAGAGAAAAGGATTCTGGGCAGAGTTCCCAGCAATGCAGCTATCCATCGCATGAAAATGCCTTTTCCTTCTCTACCTGGGCCCCCTTCTAAACGCTGAGGGAAAAAAACAGAAAGGCACTGAGGTCAAAAAAAGAAAAAGGAGGAAAATCCTGCTGTACTCTAACCTAAATATTTGGGACCTGTATAGAAATCTGAGGAGGTGTTTCCTAGGCGGTCTACTCACCTCCTGTCTATTAAGAGGAGATTCAGGCCAGGCATGGTGGCTCATACCTGTAATCCCAGCACTTTGGGAGGCCAAGGTGGGTGCATTACTTGAGGTCAGGAGTTCAAGACCAGCCTGGCCAACATGGTGAAATTCCGTCTCTACTAAAAATACAAAAAACTAGCTGGGCGTGGTGGCGCATGCCTGTAGTCCCAGCTACTCCCTAGGCTGAGGCAAGAGAATCACTTGAACTTGGGAGGCAGAGGTTGCAGTGAGCCGAGATCGTGCTACTGCACTCCAGCCTGGGTGACAGAGCGAGACTCCATCCCAAAAAAGAAAAATTAAAAAGAGGAAACTCAGCACCCTCATCTGAACCATGACCGAAATCCCTCCATGCCATACAGTGGGAACCAGGGACAGAAACTCAGGAGCAATCGACTCGCAAGCCCACTCAGTATGCTGAATGTGACACATTCACTCTTTGCTTATAATTGGGACATGCACAGCTGCTGTGGGAGTCATAAAGGAGGGAAGGTGCTAGGAAGTGCTGGCAAGGGTGGAAATAAGACGGAGGTGCCACAGTGAGCTTTACTCGCCTAAAAAGCCACTCTCCATAACTGCTCAGGAAACTTCTGAAGATGAAAATACAAAAATAATTCGGCTTCAGAAAGCAAATTTGGGTTTGTTTTCAATCTCACAGAGCGCTGCAACACAAGGCATGCTCTCTTCAAAGCAGCTCTGCGGCAGACGGTTCTCTCTAGGAACCGTGCATTTGACGGGCATCACAGGTGGCCATACTTCCATGCAACCAGATCTTCTGAACCTCCTTCAAGGATGCCAATAATATGAATTCCCTTCAATCACATGCTTAGAAAAGAGAAAAGAGATGCTTAAAGCACCAAGGTTTAGGATTTGTTTAAAACCAATAATAACCAAATTTAGTTTGGGGAAGGCTGTTTGCAATTCCCCATTGCTACTCCAATTCAACCTATCCCCCGACTCCATCCCATGCTATTCTTCTTTATCTTCCCCTCTCACACCTCTACACACAGTAAAGGATATGTACTTCTCTGTGTTTAGAAGTGAAATATCATGTCTGGTGAGCATGCAGGACAAGCTAGTTAGCAAAAAAAGAGTAACAGCTAATACTTGTTGAGCACTTATTATCTGCCCCTCTGCCAAGCATCTTACATGCATTATTTCCTTGAATCCTTATAACCATCCTGGGAACTTCATTTTCCAGATGAGAAAATCAAGGTTCCAAAAGATTAAGTAACTTGCTAAAAGTCACATGGCTACTAAGCAGCAAAGTCAAAATTTGAACCCAGGTCGTCTGGCTTGAGAGCCAAAAGTGTAATGACTAAATTGCTTAAGAGATGCAGTTAGTTTCCATGAACTTCTGATACAGGCTAAGAAGGCATGCTCTCTCCATGGAAGACCTAACAGCCTCCAGCGCAGAGTAGACACCTGCCAGAAGAAGGCAGTGCACACCTGCCAGTGCACAAGGAGCACACCCCAGGCAGTACTCAGTCTCAGGATGCCACAGAGCCAGGGAAAGGTGGCCACAGGTGAACTTCCCAGGGAGGGGTAAGTACTGGCTTGATGAAATGGTATAGTGTTTTTTTAACAAAGGAGACAGATTAAATGGCATTATACGGAGCATCATGCTGAGATTTAAGGATCTTGGTGCTAGCATTCCTGATCTTGAACAGGCAGCTCAAATAAGCTTAACACGTGGGTTTCATTGAAAAAATTAACCTGTTGCCAAGTAAAGTGTTTCAAAGAATTGGAATGTTGTCAAACTAGCTTAAAACCACGAAATGGTACAACTTAATGAGAGACTATAAATCTTGAGGAATACAACACATGGCTCTCTCTCCAAAAAATTGTGATTTCACAAGTGGTTTGGTGTCTTTCCTGGGCACACACACACATTGGTAGGTGAAATGTAACTAAAAGCTGCTTTTTATTTGAGAAAAATTTCTTCCATTTCAATGCCTTTTGAATCATTATACTAACTTTTTCAGTTAAAAAAAATTTTTCAAATAGCTGATACAATCATGCTAAATCGTTTTCTTTAAAAGTCTACTCAACCTCCTGGAGATACAACAACATTTCTGAGCATGAAAGCACTAACATTAAAGTAAAACAAAACCAAGCCAGTGATTCAGTGCTGAATCCAAAAGATAGAGAGGCAGACTCTAATGATTCTTGCAAACCAGCAATGGCCCGGATCCAGCACCCTGGACATAGATGAAGGGATGGAGAAGGAAAGGAAGGAGGGAGGGGGAGAAGAGAAAAAAAGCAGAAAAGCTTTGACTGAAAAGAAAAAGTAAGATATAGAAATTCAGCTCTATTGGCTCCTGAGAAAAGCGTGCTAGCTACTCACCTGTCTACTGCTTCCACATCAAAGCAAAACCTCTTCTCAATGGAATCTGTTTTCCGCCGTGTGCAGGATTTGAGGGTAACTGATTCATCTTCTCCCTAGTGGGAACACACAGACTATTAAGATCAGGCCAGAATGGGAGCTCTACTCCTCTCTAGGACACACATGACCTGTAAACAGGAGCCATCATTTCATCTTCTCAAATCTGAGTGCTCATGACCATGGGCGGTGGAAGGGTGACTATAAACCTTTCCAGGAAAAAGCCTCATGCAGCTTACATTTGTACACCATATTAGACCTGGACCCAAACATCTTTAGTATGGATGGATCATGATGGCACTGCATCAGTCCACGGCAGATAAACGAGTGTGGATATTGTTTTAATTTGCAGGTTTCATAAGAGTAGAAGAAGACGGTTTCCTCCCAATTCTGAGCTTCTATGATCTTGGGTTGGTCATCACTTCTCCAAGAAAACCTTCCCAGACCAGAACAAATATCACCAGTACGTGTTCACAAAGCACCATGTACCTTTCCCTCCATCACAGCACTGACCATAGCTGAAACTGTGCATTGATATAGGTGATGAATACAATAATGTCTCTCTCTCCATTAGACCACAGGACCCTGAGAACAGAGACTGGGTCAAATTTTGCTTATTCTTGTCTCCTGAGCCCAACTGGATCCTAGAAACAGTAGCTGCTCAATAAATACATTTTAACAACTTTACTGACATATAATTAATGTATAAGCTGTACATATTGAACTGTACAATTTATAGATGTTGATGTCATATACATCCATGAAACCATCACCATGACCAAGCCAGCAAATAATTCCACCATGCCCAAAAGTTTCCTTGTATCCCTTGGCAATCCATCCCTCCTCCCAGTACATCCCCAAGCAATTGCTGAATCTGCTTTCTGTCGCTACACATTAGTTTGCATAGTCTATAATTTTATATAAATGGAACTACACAGTATGTGCTCTTTTTGTCTGGCTTCTTTCACTTAACATAATTGCTCTGCTATTCATCCATGTTGTTGTGCATATCAAGGGCTTATTTCTTTTTATTGCTGAGTAGTATTCCATTGCTCAACTGAATGTGACAATTTCATCTCATGGCACTACTTTATAGCACTAGGTTATGCCCAGAAACACAGAAGTTGCTGTCCCTGATTTCTTCTTACTGTCACTTAGGAATTTGTTAGGATTTCTGTTTCCCCTGCCTCTGTCAATCTTTTTTATCTAAACTAATGGGGGAAATTAGCAAGCTTGCCTGTTTGTTGAAATAACAGAAGTGTATGTAGCTACATAAGGTAAAACTTAACCACCCACTAATATCAGAATAGCAAACAAAACACAGAAGGCCTAGGAGGAGACAGTTTATATTCACAGGCCTTACATCTATTGTCTTCCATTGAATAGCAAAGATTAATTTCTCAGACAGAACTGCTCTGTATCTGGCCAGCTTGAGCTGCTTCAGACCCTCCTTGTTCTAGCTCTAGCTACCATCTGCTTAGTACCTTATGAGAAACCTCAAGCCTGAACCACCCATCCAAATGCACCCTGAATGCCTGACCCACAGAAATGATGAGAAATACTAAAATGATTGGTGTTGTTTTAAATATTGCTAAGTTTTGGGGTGACTTGTTACACAGCAATAGGTAACCAGGACATCTATACTGCCACCGGCAGCTCTCCAGGTGTCAAGTGGGAGTGGGATTGAATCAATTTCACAGCATGAGGTCATCCAATAATTTTTAGCATATAAAAATATTCAACATGCTTGATATTGTATATATGTGAAATACAAAAATATTTCTTAATTGCAGTTCCTAATATAACTTAGGGCTAAGAGTAATCATCTTATTTTAGCAATTCTTCAGCCTCTTAGACTTCCTGGAACTACTGTATAAAATTTTTTTTAATTATTAATTTTAAATTTATAATGAAACATAAATGTAACACTGAAAGTGTCACTGTATACATGCATTATAATCACTATATGTTAGCCAAGCAAATCAAACACCAAATTTTAAAAATGAACTCACCCCTTTTCCTCCTGACTTTTGGTCAAATGGTACCATGGTGATTTGTTTGGAATCCCGTTGATATGTACAGTAGTGCTTCACCCAAGAAGTTCCAAAGTGACCTGCAAAGTAATATTTCCCATAAAACATCTATACATTCCACTCTATGCTACACATCATGAGTTGGAAAAACCACAAGCCATAATTCATAATGCTCATCTACCCTTAAACTATTTTAGGAGTAATATATTCTCCACACCAGCTAGAATGAATAGACAGAAATCTGATCCCACAAGCTCAAATGAAACCAACCCAGGGATTTCCCCCAGGGACCAAAGAAGGCTGTTTCCCACTACTGCTACATCCAGTGGGTCTTAAAATACAAGGGAAGTAAAGGTTCCCTGGGGAAATTAATCCACATTCCCATCATCAAGCCCCAACTGAAGTTTCCACTCTCTTCACTGACAGGAGTAAGAAGATTGAGGAGAGAATGCAGAAAGCCTCCTCCAAGTGCTTGTGACCATTCCCATCTGTTGCGATGACATCATGCTTCCCACACAGCTGCTCTGTGACTCTGTGCACAGACACAGGGGTTCTGACCTACTTCCAAACCCCAGACTTACTTTAGCAGAACTCAAGAAGATCTGAAAAGCCGACAAGGAGACCTCAGAGACACCAGAGATGCAGAGTGGAAGTGACTATCAATGCCCAGATGTAACCTATAAGGAGTATGTCCCTCAAGATTAGTATGTCACCTCAAGAGGGAGGTGCCATGCAGTCATGTTCTAGTCTCTGATTTTACTCAGTGCTCAGCCAATTACTTGAAACAACAAAGCACTATTACAGGAAGAAGGCATTAGTCAGCCTGCAAAGGACTTCAACCAATACTAGTTTTAGATGCTTATGGAGATCACACAGCGGAATTGGCAGACATTTAATAATTATTAATGGTATGGCATGACTGCCAACTGCAAGTGTTACATGTCATTTAGTAAACTAAAAAGCAATACAGTAAATGTTTCCACTGGGGCATCAAGGACAAATGACAATACAAACCATCTTAGTGTATTCTTATGGACTAGGGAAAAAATTCCAGCAATCAAGCAACACAAAGATTCCCAAAGCACTGTATCTTGGACAACTTGAGCATCAAGATAAATAAGGATAGTGATAAATTATAGCCTCCTGAACAAAATAGGAACCCGTAAATCCACACTAACAATGGAAAGATGGAAAATGGATGGACAGATGATGGATAGATAGTAGGGAGGGAGGGAGGGAGGGAGGGAGAGAGGAAGGGAGGAAGGAAGGAGGGAGGAAGAAAGAAGAACAGGACTCTTCCTTACATAAGTACACTGAATGGCAACTATTAAATGTGGAGGGGTTGGTGGAACTGAGAAGTCACCATTTTGCAACCATCATAGTAAAGATCAGCTCAGGCAAGGATTGTCAATGGATGCTAAATCTATGGAGGTAAAGCGTGATAAGGAGAAGGATATTTACATGATCTTAAGGTGTTACCTTCAGATTGCTAATTAGTTACAAGGGGAAAATAGTGACTGTATAGTGGAGAAACCAGACAATACCTTGACTGGGTGATCAAAATTTACATCACCACTGAGGGGCAGATCAACACCACATGTGTCCAGATGTGGCCCCGGAGAAGAACTCTTATGTAGGATTATCTGACCAGGGATGCATATTACAGTTCTAATCATGAAGAAACACCAGATAAACCCATGCTGAAGAAAACTAAAAAGGAACTGAACTGTGTTGTTCAAAAATGTCAATGTCATGAAAGACAAAGAAAAGCTGGAGAACTGTTCCAGATTAGAGACGAAAGACATGATAACTAAACGCGGTACTGGAGAACAACAAAATGCTTTAGAAGGCCATTATTGGTACAACTGGCAAAATTGGAACACGGACGGTAGTTCAGATTAAATATTGTACCAATGTTAAATTTGTTATTAGGGATTTTAGCCATACTTTTAATGGCAAAAACCATAATTACTCTTGCACCAACCTAACAGATGTGTTTACATAAAAAGAATAACTTTTATTCTTAGAAAATACTCACTACTGAAGAAGCATGCTATATGGAACCATATTCTCAAATGACTCAGAAAAACATGTGGATGTGGATGTGTGCAAGTCTATGATGCACATACTCACACACCCACACAGAGAGGGAAGGAATGATATAATTGTGGCTAAATGTTAAAAACTGGTACACTGGGTAAAGGGTTTATGGTTGTTCCTTATACCATTCTTGCAACTTTTCTGTATGTCTGAAATTATTTCAAAATAACAAGTTATAAAAAATTTAAAATTAAAAAAAAAGTACTGCATCCCCATCATGTGCTCTGGACTGTGTTAGGGAACAAAAAAGTGTTCTCATGATAATCAACACACTAATGTTGAAAGAACATGTGAAGTGTCTGAATAAAAGTGTGTGATGTAATATGAGAGTGCAAAAAAGCAATATTGATTTTATATATGTAAGTGAATGATATATTAACAAATTAAGTATTATGGTAGACTCTGAACTATATTTTTAGAGCCCTAAAATTTTATATTTTCAAGTAGACCTAAAACCTTTTGCAGGGATCTTCTTACTGGACAAAGAGAGAATCACTTTGTATTCAGGTATATATGAAACACACAATTAAATTAGTTACATTTCTTATAAACTTCAACAGGTTGATCCCTGTAAGAATAAGGAATGTAATCCTCATCACAGCCAATACCTCCAACACCACTACTGCCCCACTGTTCCCAGGAAACGTAAGTCCAAACAAATTTTTGAGTAATTACTAAATAGAATAATTAGTGAAACCAAGTATTTCTATTCTATTCCATCAGGAAGCTATTAGGAATGAAGACATTTGCCTAACTCTACACCAAGAGAAGGACATGAAAGAACACAAAACCTGCAAAAATCTGGAAAGACCAATGTTCTCTACCAAGAAAGCAGGGTAGAGGACTAGGAGAATTACCCATTAAAGAAAAAACATTCACTGTCTTTCATTCCTAGCATTGCATACATTAATTCAGTCTGAATGTGCTACCCTAAACGGCACGGCCCCATCACAGAGCCTTTCCCCAGCCGTAAGGCATGAACTTGTGAGTCATCACTAAAATGTCCATGTTAGCAGCACCTGGCATTCCTTTCCTAGACATCACTGGCAGAGCAATGAGCATTCTTGGCTCTTTTTATTTTTTCTTTTCAGAGACAGGGTCTTGCTCTGTCACCCAGGCTGGAGTACAGTGGTGGTGATCTCAGCTCACTGCAGCCTCTACCTCCCGAGCTCTTATAAACCTCAACAGGTTCACCCCTGTAAGTAATCCTCCCACCTCAGCCTCCCAAGTAGCTGGAACCACAGGTGCACACCACCACACCCGGCTAATTTTTGTATTTTTTAGAGACAGGGTTTCACCATGTTGCCCAGGCTGGTCTTGAACTGTTGAGATCAAGCAATCCACCGACCTCAGCCTCCAAAAGTGCCAGGATTACAGATGTGAGCCACCACATTCAGCCTTCTTCCTGGCTCTTGAAGTGAGCCTTTGTTTCTACTTTTCATAAAATTCAGGTGTTGGAATGAAATGAGTTGAGGAGAAGAGGGAAAGGGCCTAAGTCATGATTGTGTGGGCCTTGCTGAAACAATGTCAAATGAAAACAGAATTACCAAGTATTAAGTCTACCAAAGGATACATTGCTGATAGACAACAGGGGCCTAGTATGCAAGACCTTTCCAAGGCCACTGTGCTCAGGGTACGGTATATAAAGCTGGACTAGGGGTATAGGAACCTCAAGAGTAGAGTAATACTAGAGAGAGAAGAGCAACCACAGAGCCTTAAGGAACTGCAGGTTCCCAAAGGAATTCCCATTCAGGCCGGGCGTGGTGGCTCACGTCTATAATCCCAGCACTTTGGGAGGCTGAGGCGAGCGGATCACGAGGTCAGGAGATCGACACCACAGTGAAACCCTGTTTCTACTAAAAACACCAAAAAAAAAATTGCCGGGCGCGGTGGTGGGCGCCTATAGTCCCAGCTACTCGGGAGGCTGAGGCAGGAGAATGGCGTGAACCCAGGAGGCGGAGCTTGCAGTGAGCTGAGAACGCGCCACTGCACTCCAGCCTGGGTGACAGAGCGAGACTCCGTCTCAAAAAAAAAAAAAGGAATTCCCATTCATAAAGAAAAACAAAGTAGACAAGATTCTGTGGACATCATCTTTCCTTTTGGAAAGACGAACTATAAAATTGTTCTTGTTTATCCAAGCATGTATTTGCAGAAAGGCAGGCACTGCTGGATACACCCTCCACCTTCTAGGTAAGAGGCCTGAGTACATCGCAAGCTGTTGCTAGTCAAAGCACTCACGTTTCTCCTGCACGTAGAGGTATCCCTCCATGGTGTAGGGACTGATGGTCTTGTGCTCAAGGGGATTCTCCTTCATCTTTTTCATCAGTGATTCCACTTCTGATCTAGTGCCTTCAAAGCGATTTCTTGTCTAGGATGAAGATAATTTTATTCAAATCAAAGAAACGAAGTATCTGTTTTAACAATCCAGAGTATCAACCTAATAGAATTCTTAGATCTAAAATGAGATAAAGGACACTCCACCTTCCAGGAACTGGCCAAATACTCCCTTATAAGAAGTATACTTTGGCCTTCAAGTCCTAAACCAGAATGACTCTCAAACTCTAGTGACCATCAAAATCACCCAAGGATCTTATAGAAAAATGCAAATGCCCAGCCCTCCCTCCTACAGATCAATTTAGCACCTCTGGACGCCAAAAGTGTGTTTTACCATAAGCCTCCCAGGTGATTCTGATTCAGATGCTCTAGGGTACTGTATGACTGAAGGACCTAGGCGTTCATTTCTCCAGCTGCCAGGAATATTGCTTGCTGATGGCTCACAGATAAGTCCCTCCTTAAAAGGGGAGTTCCTTCACTCAAGGTCGGCCTGCACGCAATGACTAGTCAAGGCTAGCGGAAAGGCAGAAGGGGTGGAAAGCCTGGCCCCCTTGCTTGTATTCAGGGCGACTGTGAAGGATCATCCCAGCTCCAGAGCCTCCCTTGCACTGAGACCTCTGCTGCATCTGCATCACAGCTCTATTTCCCCCTCTGCAAGTCCAGGTGCCCTCACTCTGTCACAGGTGTTTTTACCAGCACTGCCCCCACCTCCAGTAAGCCCGTTGCATGTCAGTCTTGATTTCAGAGCCTGCATTCTGAGAAACCCAGCCTAAGGGGAAGCCATGCTTTGTGAAACCTTTTCCAAGATTCTGCAACCTCCTGTTCTCTGAGACAACACTGACAACTATGTAAGCTCCAGGCTTCTAAAAGCCATGCAGTACAACCCACATGGACACAAGATCACCTAGAGACAAAGAAATACAAAGAATAACATGGTCCAATTCCACAGTGAAGAAGGGGGCTCAAGCCCCAGTAACTGCTAACCAAAAAGCCCTACGCAGGATTCTGTGCACCAAAAGATCCTGTGTTTAAAACTTGTGAATGCTGACCACGCTGGGAGTGAAGCACAGACTTGGATTTCCTGCCAGCCTTCCTAAGAGTTGGACAAGAGCACGTCCTTTGAGCCGGAGGCCAGCATGTGTCCCCAACCCCCATCCCCAGAACACACAGTCCACATGGTCTCATGTAGCCAGGCAGCTAGATGCATAGAATGGAGGCTGGGCTGGGCTGGGATTTCCACTGCCAAAGGAAATCCTGACTCTGATGCTACAGATGCTACAGATTTGAAACATAATCAGCAGCAGCACTTCCGAGAACATAAATAGAGCTTTGAAATAATGGAGAAGAGGATGATGGTCTAACTCAGAACCACCAAGTACTCTAGAAACGCCTGCTCCTAGCTTCCCTCTGAACCCAAGCAAGACCCACCCTCCTCATCTACATTCCAAGCCACCTGGATGGTTTCTATGGCAATCAGGCCCATATTTTGTTTTTCCTTAACCAGAGAAAGGAAAGCCTGTCCCTATGCCCACTCACATTCTGTATGCTAATGGTTAACTGTGTCTTGAAGTCGCCGAAATCCTTGGCCAGTTCGTAACCATGGTGATAGAAAGTGAAGAGTCCTTGCAGGAAGGCCAGCAGCTGTAATGAAGGAAGAAAGGCAAAGGTCACATAACCAGGTTGAAAAGAGGTATTATGTAGCTGTATCTGAGCTCCCAACAGTGGGTTGAAAGTCTAAAATAGAGAATAATAATGGCTGACACTTAAAGAGCACCAATTGTGTGCCAGGCACTATGCCCTTCCATGCCCTGAGTGAGTACTCACAACCTCCTATGACCTAAGTGCTACTGTTATCCACATTTTAATAATGAGGAAGCAGGTTCAGAGAGGTTAAGAAACTTGCCCCAAAACACACAGGAAGTGGCAGCCGGAACTTGAAACCAGGTCTCCTTGGCACCAACACCCATGCCCTTGCCCTGTGGGCCTCACCACCTGCTGAGAACATCATTTCCTCAGAAACCAAACACCAGGGTTCTGACTCAGTTTCCCTCTAGTACATTTGTAGTATCAGATTATTACACAGAAGAGGAAGGGAGAAAAGGAAGTGGGGTGTCCTGAGTCTACAGTCTAACAGGCAAAGTCAAATCAAAGAAAATCATCCAGATTACACTTCAACTAAAGTGCGTGTCTGTGCTTTCCCCAAACTACTCAAAAGTAAACACTATGGATTCCTTTGGTAAAATATTTCCATGTTCCCACATTTTCACTTACGGTGGTTTCCCTAAATTCTCAATTAAACCCCTCAGGCTAAAAGGTAAGCCCATTTCATTGTTTAGTCTTGTCTTTAGTGAATGGTGAAAACATCTGTTCACCACAATGCTCACCACATGCCTTCATATACTTAAAAACTATTAATGTCCCCACCCTGAGCCCCTGCCAGCCTTCATTTCTCCAAACTAAATAAACAACGTTCCTGTGGTCTTTCCTCTCGGAGCTTACATCCAAACCTCACTGTTGTTATGCTTTTCTGGCCCCTTCTCAAGTTCTACACATCTTCCCTCCGTTCCAAACTTCAACCTGAAGAAAGGATTATAATAAAAGCCCGAACAAGATTTAGGAAAGACCAGTGCCTCACCTCTATCACAAGCTCAGCTCCATGGCATTTGGGGACTATTCCATTCACTTTGGCTTCTGAAGGCTGACCCACATTTTCTGAGGGGTCCACTCTGACCTCCCTGACCTGCCATACCACCTTATTTCAAGACACATTTGCTGTATTTTACATTGTGGTCTTCAGATTTTCAGTCCCTAAATGAATTTTTTTACTTATTAAACATTACTTATTATGTAAAACAAAATTACTTTACTTACTAAACATAATCCCATCCCACTTATTTTCACCTAACTAACTCTCCTTTTCTGAGAGGCAGCCCTAATAAGTGACAGTAAAGGAATCTCATCCCGCCCCCCCCCCCCCTACTCTCTCATCTTGTTTGCAGTAGGAATAGTAAGCACAAAGGTATACAGCACTGGACCTAAACTCAGAGGCCAGGCCAGCCCGGTTTAATCGAAGAGCCGGGCACTGTGAAGATAAAACCCAGATTATGACAATATGACCTTTAACTTCCCATTGCCATTGTCCCCGGCCCATCTATCCCCTTAGATTCTCATAGATGGTGCAAGAGTGGGCATTGCTGGGTCCTCTGGCTATAAAACTATCCGGTGGCACCATATACAGACCCCTAACTAAATCAGTGAATGAGTGTTAAGCCGCATCGAGTCACTAGAGACTGAAAATGAATGCTTTTCTTCAAAGATGGCCGAAGGCTCTGGGTTTACACCATACAAAATTATTTTGTTGAGAGGAAGACCCATACCTTTCCTTCTAGATGGCTCCAGTAATAGAGGAGAAGGGGCTCCTCTGCCAAACCTAGTCACAGCATTCACAATGAAAACTGTTGTCCCTCTTCTTATCTCTGCTCTCCCTGCTGTCTGCAAATGCCCTGCCCCATTGCCTTTCCAAGGCATGACACCACCCCTAACTTGAGAATAATGCAGAAGATAAGCAGCTAATTCCAAGGTCATTCCTCCTATTAACTATGATTTATCGTTCACTTACAGTAAACAGAGCCTCTCTTGCTCAGGGTAATTAAATATTCTCAAATAGCTCACCAAGATGTCACCTGGGCATACTCGCAAGTGCTCCCCAAAGGCAGGAAGTTAACTAATATTTATTTTGTTTTTCCTCCTTTGGTCTCATGCCTTGATTGTCCATTTTACTAAGGGAAATGACTCCTTAGCATGTTGCTATTTTTGGCCCACTTCCCCCTTGCTTCTCCCCTCACAGCACCTTTTCTCTCCCCTACCCTCAACACTATATGAACCTCTGAACCATTACAAAGTGGGAAATGAAAGTCCACTCCTCAGGGGGCAGGATGAAGCCCACGGGACTCCAGAGGTGGGGGAGCTGTCTACTTCAAAGAAATGCTTCTACCCAAACACTAGGAGGAAGAACTTGCTGCGGTCCCACCTGGTTATCAAATAAGAGAGGTCAGCTGTCCACGGAGCAACCACAACATCACAGCCTGACAAAGGAAAGCTCTTTCCCGCCTCCCTGTGCCTCCTTCTCCATCCTTGTTATCCTAAAAGAATACCATAAGCAAAACCTATTCCTACTTCCTAGCTGACAACATAATTTATTTTTTTCATTTTAAAAAGCAAAAATCTAATTGTCCAAGTTAATGCTGGCTGCATCGTTCTGGATTGTCACCATTCACAGAACAGACCTACTTTACTGAGTTGAACTGTGTACCCCCAAAAAAGATTTGTTGAAGTCCTAATACCTCTGAAGGTGATTTACTTAGAAATGGGGTCTTTACACGGGTATTCAAGTTAAATGAGGACATCAGGGTGGGTCCTAGTACTTTTACAAGGATGCCATATCTGGTGTCCTTAGAAAGGTGAAAATGTGGACACAGAGACATGCATGGCCATGTGAGGACGAAGGATTGGAGGGAGGCATCTATAAGCCAAGGAATGCCAAACATGGTCACAAGCCACGAGAAGCTGGAAGAAGGAAAGGAAGTGTCCCCTTTCACCGCAGGTTTCAGAAGGATCTTGGTGCCAAAATCTTGACTTCAGACTTCTAGGCTTTAGAACTGTGAGGCAACAGATTTCTGTTGTTCCAAGATACCCAATTTGTGGTACTTTGTTACAGCAGCCCTAGCTCATACAGCTACCAAGAATCATTCGCACAGGCAAGAAAGGGAAGAGCAGCCAGTAGAGTGGTGAAAAGCTGAGGGGGCTAAGCCATGTAACTCCCTTTAACTCATCTTTAACAGGAGGATAACAGTGATTTTTTACTACTGCACAGAGTTTCAGTGAAGATTAATTCAGATCATCCATGTAATGGGCTTAGTACAGGAGGGCTGTCAGGAGATTCTTGGCAAAAGAGAGAGAAAGAATCAGACTGATGTGTCAGAAGATGCACTCTGGTCCAGGCCAGACTGGAGAAGGGGGAGGCCCAGGGCAGAATGCAAAGTCCAAAGGAAAGAATGAAGACCTGCAATGGGACAGAAGCAGAGGGAAAGGAGAGGAAGAGACACAGCACCAAGAAATATTCAGGATGTAAAACTCAGAGGATGCAGTGCCTAATGAACATGGAGAATGAGTTCTCTGCTGCACTAGCTAACCTTCAATTATGAAAACTCAGGGAACAGAGAGAATGTGACTTCACCTTCATGGAGTCAATATGTCATTATCTGCAATCCAAATCTCAGGAACATTTAGTACTGTGACAAGAAAATTAAGGCTTCCAGTGCAAATATACACATACATATACATATATACACACACACACAGACACATATATATACACACACATATATATATATGTCCCAGAAGATCTGATTTAGATCCCAGAAGTCTGATTTTTTTCTTCCTCGGGAACACTACAACTGTTTCTTTTTCTGAAGGTCAACAATATCCTGGTACTTAAAGTTACTTTCAAGAAACAAAGGAACAAGTCAATTTGCATAGAGGTCTCTTACATGACTGGAAGATTCCCTTGACTGTAACCAACTCAAATATGAATAGCCACCCCAGCAATTTAGTTCAATAGACTTCTTGCTGGTTTCCTTTCCACCTGTAAGCAATCAAATGCTATTTCATAGAGATGAAGAATCAGACCCTTCCAGCTCTGCTATTTACTAGATATGATGTTGGACAGGTAAAGAAACTTATTTGTTTCTATTTCTTCATCTGAAAATTGGGATAAAAACAGTTTTTACCCTTAGAGATGTTATAAGGTTCGACTGACATACTGTAGGTAAAGCGCTTAGCATGGTACATGACATGGTTTCAGTTAATATCATCAATGGTTATTTCATGTTCTTCCTTTGTATAATCTAGGCCAGTGGCTCAAACTGAAATGTGCAGCTGAATCACCTGGAAGGTTTACTAAACTACAGACTACTGGGCCCCTCCCTTAAATTTCAGGTCTGGAGTGAAGCCTGAGAATGTGCATGTCTAACACTGAGAATCACTGATCTCATCAGTAGCTTTTTCACTGTAGGAATACCTTCTCCCAATCCCCAGCTCCTGAAGCCACTGACCTGCCTAGAAGCTGATGTGCAGAGACAGGAACTTCTGTAGAAAAGTAAAGGCCAAACATCTGAATCCTATATCCAGCCTCTCAACATTTAGTTTAACTTTGGGCAAATCCCTATTATTATCTCTTTGTCCTAACAAGAGACTGAAAATTTCTTTTCATTAGCTCTCCAGGTTTCTCACTGTATGAACTGAAAAACATCTGCACACTGCAATGGTTATACTTTTAAATCCATCTGGCACATCTATAGCATCCATCCTGTCCAAGCTGTCACTGAACTCTTTGCTACCTTGGCTAGCTCTCTACTATACACATCTTGCTTCCCCCAGTGAGGCTGTGAGTGCCTCAGCCACAGCATCTGGGTTTTCAGCATTTTCTATGGTACTCAATAAATATATACTTTTAGATCTACCAAGATTGTTTATATTAAAACAGGTAGGCCCTGTTAACATTGGTACTTCACTCATTTGCTCACAAATTAAAAAAATTGCTAACTTTGTATTGGGTTCTAATCAGGTTCTGTTCTAAGCACCCCACATGGAAAAACACTCAGTCAATCCTCATACATCTTTATCAAGTAGGTGATACTACTATCCCCATTCTGCAGATGGGGAAAGTAAGGCTCAGAGAAATAACTTGCCCAAGAACACATAGCTAGTAAATGGCTAGGCTGGGATTTAAATTCAGGGAGTCTTAGAATCCTTAACCATGATGCTACTACTTCTTAAAGTGAAAACTCCCTAAGACATGGACACACTACAACAGAATGCCAGGAAATGGAATGGTAAATCTTTAGAGATTTATTTTCTCAAAAAAGAAGGAAGGAAGAGGGGGAGGAGAGACAAAAGGAGGAGGAGGAGGAGGAGGAAAACCCATTTAGATGAGCAAAGCTATCCAGCTGAGCCCAGCCTAAGCTGGCTGAACCTCAGAGATGTGTGAGAAGTAAACATCTATTGTTGTATGAGGTTTTGTGGATACCATTCAGCAAAAGCCAACAGATAAAATACCTGACTCACTAGGTACACCTACTGAGAGATCGAAGTGGATAACAAAACACTCACCTCAAAAAAGCTGGATGGGCCAATTACAAAAAAAAAAACTCATCAAAAGCAAGCAAATTTGGAATAATATTAATCGAAGTATATATAAAGATTATTAGAAATGCACTGTTCTTTTTCTCCAGAAATTCTGGCAAAAGCAAATAAAATAATGCTAAAGGCAAATTCTATGTGACAGCATTTGAATTCCTGCCCTGACCACAGGAAGCAAGTCTTCAGTAAACCTCTGCTTGAAAGGCCAGGGCTTGTGCTTTAAGCAGGAAAATCAATAAGGCAGCTTTATCTGACAACAGCTGTTCATACCTAACAGACCCTGCAGAAAGATGGGGATTTTTGACCTGGGACCTTGACTGAAACCACTGCTGGACAGGAAGTTGGGTCTAAGGTTTTAATATTCATATATGGAGACTGAAGTAATTGACGACTTTAAGGAATCTGCCAAATGAGGTAGCTGGGAGTGGTATCCAGAAATTATAGTTCTAGCATAGCAAATGATGTAGACATAAGGTTCCAAAGCCAGTTGGAATCTTTTTTTTTTTTTTAAGAGATGGAGTCTCACTATGTTGCCCAGTTGCCCAGGCTGATCTCAAACTCCTGGTCTCAAGTGATCTTCCTGCCTCAGCCTCTAAAAGTGCTAGGATTACAGGCATGAGCCACTGTGCCTGGCCACCAACTAGAGTCTTGATGAAACCACCAGCAAGTCTACATGCCTAAAAAACATCCATCCCAGCTGACAGTTGGCTTCATGCTTGCCCCTAGGTTACCTAAACCCACAGAGATTCTTAAGGGGGTGGAGAGGTTTGGGTGGGGCCACCTTGTCATGGTGCTAAGGATCACCTACTCTCTTCCAGCGTGCATTGCTTCCAGGCCGGGACAGTGTGGCCGACCAGATGACTATGTGCTAGAGGGCAAAGAGTTGGAGTTCTATCTTAGGAAAATCAAGGCCCGGAAAGGCAAATAAGTCCTCATTTTGTCTTCACCCGTGTAATAAAGGTGTTTATTGTTCTGTTCAAAAAAAAACAAAAACAAAAACAAAAATCCATCCCAAAAGTCTATAAATTAGACATGGGGTACAGAACATTCTTTACTAGAAAGAGTGGCCATTTCTTTCAGTTTCTTATAGTTTTATTCTTATTTGCTTAAGAAAATTATCCTTTCTTGGTCAGGCGCGGTGGCTCACGCCTATAATCCCAGCACTTTGGGAGGCCAAGAGAGGCGGATCACGAGGTCAGGAGATGGAGACCATTCTGGCCAACATGGTGAAACCCCGTCTCTACTAAAAATACAAAAATTAGCCAGGCATGGTGGTGCGTGCCTGTAGTCCCAGCTACTCAGGAGGCTGAGGCAGGAGAATCACTTGAACCCGGGAGGCAGAGGCTGCAGTGAGCTGAGACTGCGCCATTGCACTCCAGCCTGAGGGACAGAGCGAGACTCTGTCTCAAAGAAAAAAAAAGAAAAAAGAAAATTATCCTTTCTTGAATCTAGGTAGAGAATCTTATTTGTACAGAAATGCCAGGCTTGAGTCTAAATCAGAGGCTGCATTTTGGCTGGAAAATCCACGGTCTGTAAGAGTTTAAAATTGAGGTCCACACACTATTTTGGTGTATCCGTAAAGTCTTCCTGCTGTGGATTATCCACACCAGTGACCCACCCAGTGGAGTGGAGTGGCACCACGTCCAAACGAAACCACAACCATGCTGGTGTGGCCTAAAGTCAGGCTTTTCCCACAATGCAATATTCATGTTCACTGGGACACTGTAAAAGTCCAAATTCCATCAAGGTCCACTCAGCAGAGTCTCTATGTTGCTCTGTTTATAACAAATCCATGTGAGAAATCCATATGAGAAACTTTATATAGCACCTTTTAATACCTGAATGGGGTGAGAAGGAGCTTTGAACCACAAGGTAAAAAGAGAAATGTACTATGTCTTTGGGTGACTACTAAATCTGAATTATTTGAGGCAGAGAAGAAGGGTAGGAAAGAGGAGGGAAGTTAAGGTATAATCACTATTTCATGGCAAGATAAAGAACTCCTCCCCTCTGGACTCCCATTTCCACTCTATCCACCTGAAAATCATACGGCACATCACTGGGTAGCTAGAGGAAAGAATGACTGCTGGACGCTCTGTCTCCATTGCTGTGCGTTGTACAGGAATGGCTGCTGGGAAGAATCCAGGGCAGCCAGGCTGACAAAGCACTGATACTTACAGAAGGCACAGCATCAGGGCTGCTCAACCTCTTCATCAACAACTTAGAGCATTTTGTAATCCACTACTAGTTAGAGTGAGAAATGAATGTTTGGGTACATCATTAAACCCTGAATATCTACTTACGGGCTCCACAAACTCAAACATCTTTCTCTCTTGGACTTCCTGCACCTTGAAGACATATTCCAGGGATACTTCATAGAAATGCTGCCGGACCAGGTCCACTTGGCTGTCTGCCTACAAACAAGATGGAATTTAAGAGAAAAATCAAGTCACTACCCAAGGATAGCATTCTGAAAGCAGATCAGAAAAAAAAAAATCTCTGGAGATAAATTTCAAAAACAAATCAAATAGCATTACACAGAAGAAGAAGAACTATAGTACCATTTCACTATGCAAAAGTATACTGAAACATCATGTTATACAACTTAAATACATACAATTTTTTTAAAACAAAACAAAAAGCTTTCTAATGAGATTATTGGTTTAAAAAGGTAAATGTATACAGGGAACTCAAACAACTCAACAGAAAAAAAAAACCCCACAAATAATACGATTAAAAAGTGGGCAGAAGATCTGAACAGACATTTCTCAAAAGAAGACATACAAATGGCCAAAGGGTACATTAAAAAATGCTCAACATCACTAATCATCAGCGAAATGAAAGTCAAAACCAAAATGAGATATCATCTGAACCCAGTTACAATGGCTATGATCAAGATTAAAAGTAGCGAATGCTGGTAAGGATGGGGAGAAAAGGGAACTGATGGTGGGAATGTAAATTAGTACAACTATTATGGAAAACAGTATGGAGATTTCTCAAAAAGCAAAAAATAGTACTACCATATAATCCAGTAATCCCACTACTTGGTATTTATCCAAAGAAAAGGGAATCACTCTATCAAAGGGATACCTGTACTCCCATGTTTATTGCAGCACTAGTCACAACAGCCAAGATATGAAGTGAACCTAAGTGTTCAACAGATGAATGGATAAATACACACACACGGACTGCTATTCAGTCATGAAAAAGAATGGAATTCTGCAGCAACATAGATGGAACTGGAGCTCATGTCAAGTGAAGGCACAGAAAAACTGATATCCCATGTTCTCATTCATATGTAGGTGCTAAAAAAGGGGATCTCAAGGAAGTAAAAAGTAGAATGATAGTTATCAGAGGTTAAGAAAGGGGTGGGAGTTGGGAGTGGTGGTTCATGCCTGTAATCCCAGCACTTTGGGAGGCCGAGGCAGGTGGATCACGAGGTCACGAGTTCGAGACCAGCCTGGCCAACATGGTGAAACCCCATCTCTACTAAAAATAAAAAAAATTAGCTGGGTGTGGTAGCACGCACCTGTAATCCCAGCTACTTGGGAGGCTGAGGCAGGAAAATCACTTGAACCCAGGAGGCGGAGGTTGCAGTGAGCCAAGGGCGTGCCACTGCACTCCAGCCTGGCAACAGAACGAGACACTGTCTCAAAAAAAAAAAAAAAAGGAGGGGGTAGGAAGGATGAAGAGAGGTTGCTTAATGGGTACAAAAATACAGTTAGATAGAAGGAATAAGTTCTAGTATTTCATAACACAGTAGGATGACTATGGTTAACTGATGTATGGTGTATATTTCATAAAAGCTAGAAGATATGAAATGTTCCCAACACAAAGAAATGATAAATGTTCGAGGTGATAGATACCCTAAATACCTTCATTTGATCATTACACCTTCTAGGAATGTATCAAAATAGCATACATGCCCCATAAGTATGTATGATTACGTATCAACCAAAAAGGTGAGTGAGTGAGCCAAATGGACATCATATTAGCCCAAATAGTATGCCACATGTTAAAAGTAATCAAATCTAACAAACAAAACAGAAATAAGAATAATGATAATGGTTACCTGAGCACTAACTTTGTGCCAGGAACCATGCCCATAGCTGTACCTACATTACCTTATTTAATTCTCATTAATTTTAATTATTTAATCTTCACTACATGCCTAGAAAAGAGATATTATCTGTATCTCTAACATACAGGAAGAAAATATAATCCACTGACATTAAGGAATACGACTAAGGTAACACTGCTAGTATAATGCAGACCTGGGATTTCTGTCCTGGTGGATCTGCCCCTAAGGCCCTTGGATCATCCTGAAACCACCAGTCTCCACTGTTTCGCCATACTCTGGGGCAACCTGGGTTCCATGGGAGACAGATTCTTACAGTGAAAAAGAAATTCCTGCAGAGTCATACTCATCCAGGCCTTTCTAATGCACAAAACAAACTGTCAGAGGGCAGGGAATCTCAGAAAAGGCCATGTTCACAGAAGTCCCAAATACTTTCTTTGTGATAAGAACAACAGTTTACTACAAGCAGAGACATTTCAACACTCTCTCTCAATTTCACTTCTCCCTCTGTGCAGGCATGTGTCCAGGACAGGCCAACGAGCGGGTACAATTAAACCACTGATCTGGGATCTGGCACCCAGGGAGAAACTCCAAGCATGGAGTTGCAAGATGCTATGCTGGGAAGTATCTCAACTCTCACTGTAAAGCTCTAAACCTTTCCATAATGTGTCTGTGTCAACTCAATCCTTTAAAGCAGATAATCAAACTGAAAGCATATTTCAATGGCAAAACACTAAAGTGAATATATATTTTTAATATAAATGAATATCCTGCTAGTAAGAAACAAAACACTGTTTCCCTTAGAAATGACACAGTCAGAAACCATTCCACAACGCCCTTTACTAAGACACAGCTCCCAAAGGCATATTTCTTTGAGTGTTCCTTTGTCAACATTCCTACAGAAGAAACTCAGAACAGACCCTTACTTCCATTATACCAAATACAATATGCAACTTGGACATCTTAAGAGTTTAGCAAATCATCTATCCGTTCCACCATCATGAGCGAAAGAAATTTCCTTCCTGGAACTTAGAGCGTAGTAAAGAAAAGAGACATTAGTCAAGTAAGTAAATTAAGAGAAAACCACAAGCTCTGGTAAAACACAAGATGTTATAAAACACCCTGAAAGAATATATTCAGCTCTCTCACACTAGCAACTTCCTCCCACGGCAATGGACATTCTCATACTCAAAAGCCAGTCTGCTGAGTAACTGCTGGATCAAACTAATCTGAAAGGCTAAGACTGGGGGCATTTTCTAAGGCTCCCAAGCAGGGAAAAGAGATATCTGAGTACTGATAAATCTTTATTTGGAGACAGGTTTCAGAAGGTCCTGCACCCTACTCACCACCACCACCCCCTGCATCGTGTGGCTGCTGAGACAACTGGGCTGATACACCTTCCAACCAGGCTCCTGCTGCTAAGCCCCATGTGTTCCTGTAGCCTTTGATCTCCTTGTAGCACAAATCCAACATGCTCACACGGAGAGATGCATCTACTCCCGACCACTCCACACACCTCACAGCTTCTCTCTGCCTGGGCTTGCCAACTGACACTGCGAGTGGAGGGGGGAAACAGAAGAAATCATTATGAAAATCTGCAAAGGCAGGGATGAAGGATCCAGAAGGAAATTCCTATGAGCAAAACAGAATTGACTCCCACATCAGAGAGCTGCCCAAGTGCAAGCTCCAGTTCTACAATGTCCTAGCTGGTGAGATCTGCTCAAGCCATTGACCTCCTTTAGAAGATGGAGATAATATCAGCCCTTGCTTCAGAGTAGTGTTTCCAAGAGAAAATGGGCCAAATGATGTAAACCATTTGAAAACTGGAAAATGTACTGTGCGTGTCGGTGGTTGCTGTCACCAGGCACTTCAGAACACAAGGGTCTCACTTCCTGCTCTACCCTCAAATAGCCACATCACCTCTGAGCTACTACACTTCTCTCCTAACTGGTCTCTCTGTCTTCATTCTCTCCCCATCCCAATTCACTCTGCACCCAGGAGCCAGAATATCTTCCTTAATATCTAAACCAGATGGTCTCATGGCCCCTTTGAGGGCTTCCCATGGCCTCTACCATGGTCTGCAAGACGCTGTGTAATCTGCCCAACCCTCCAGCCTCACCTCCTCCCAACCTAACCCACTGTCACCATGCTCCAGCCACTCTGGTCTCTTTCCTGTCCTCTAACACTCCAAACCTCTTTCTTTCCCACAACCTTTGCACCTGGTGTTCCTTCTGCCCAAAAACCTCTTCTCCTAGATAAATACACATTTTAACTTCAACATACACTAAGAAATACTTTTTATATTATGACTCAATAAACACACATTTATAATGGTTAAGTGCAATGCACTTACATATTTTTTTTTTTAAGATGGAGTTTCGCTCTTGTTGCCCAGGCTGGAGTACAATGGCATGAATACAGCTCACTGCAACCTCCGCCTCCCAGGTTCAAGATATTCTCCTGCCTCAGCCTTCCCGAGTAGCTGGGATTATAGTCATGCACCACCAATTTTGTATTTTTAGTAGAAATGGGATTTCTCCACCTTGGTCAGGCTGGTCTCAAATTCCCAACCTCAGGCGATCCACCCGCCTTGGCCTCCCAAAGTGCTGGGATTACAGGCATGAACCACCATGCCCGGCCTCATATTTTTTATTCTATTTTAGCCTACCCTATTTCACGACCCAATAATTGTGATTTTGCGACACACTTACAGCCTGAAGAATATTGTCATGGCCTTTCATTAGCTCATGCCTTCTGGGCTCGGTTTAAATATTACCTCTTTATAGGAGAAGCTTTCATTGACTATATTATTTTAAATAGGATACCAGGAAATCTCTATCTCATCTCCCAATTTAAACTCTTATCTATTCCTTTCTGGAGACAGAGTCTTACTCTGTTGCCCAGGCTGGAGTGGAGTGGCATGATCTCAGCTCACTGCAAAATCCACCTCCTGGGTTCAAGTGATTATCCTGCCTCAGCTTCCCAAGTAGCTGGGATTACAGGCACGCGCCACCACATACACCTAATTTTTTTTGTATTTTCAGTAGAAACAGGGCTTCGCCTTGTTGGCTAGGCTGATCTTGCACTCCTGACCTCAAGTGATCTGCCCGCCTTGGCCTCCCAAAGTGCTGGGATTACAGGCATGAACCACTGTGCCTGGCCTATTCCTTTCTTGTCTTGTGTATAGACTACTAGAATATAAAGTCCAAGAGAACAAAGACCTTATCTAATTTTTTCATTTTCTCCTCCAGTGCTCAGAATGGTGTATGGCCCATAATAAATGTTCAACAGATGCATGGAGAATGAATGACTTGATTCCCACGTGGCCATCAGTCAGCACCAAAGGCATGTCCTGGCAGTGACCCAGAACTAAGAACAAATGCATAACTCAATGCATTCCCAAAGGAAAAGGAAGAAGCAATCCCAAGTGCAACGTTACGTTTCTCTTGCCAATGCCCCTGCTTGGTGTGGGCCACGGAATCCATCACATCCTTGAGCCCCCTATAATGGAATTATAAGCCAGGATTCCAATCCACCCTGTAGACCACTCAAGACAGTTTTCCTGACTGCCACTCGAGAAGCTATAAATCTACTGGCTTGTCTAAACCCATCAACCATTCTGTGCTTCTTGTAAAAGAGACTTCCTCCTATATCGTAATTTCCATGAAAGAAGATCCTTCATTTCACCTTCTACAAAACACCCAGTGCCTGGACAGACTGCTGCAGAAGCGTCCAATGAGTATTTGTTGAATGAATGACTACTGTTTTTGAAGCAAACTTTTTTACCATTCAAAACTACACATTTGTTTAAATCATCCACTAGATGGCAGTGCCATTCCACATCACTGCCTGTAGTTTCTACTTTCAGGGATCTAGGGATGGGCTGGAATTTAAAAGCATTCCGTGCTAGCAATCAGGGAACAACTCTGGATAATCAAAGTGGAAGGTTTCATCAAAGGTGTACCAGGTGCTCAACAATGTTCCTAAAAGCTGAATTTTTAATAAATGTGAAGAAAATGATCACTACATAGCTGAACACCTTGAGCAAAACACCTGACCTCTGCAAGAAACCCAGTTCCTTCACCAAGTGTAATTCCAGAAAGTTGAAATGGATGATCACTAAGGTCCTTCCCTCTCTCCGATTCTATGTTATGACACTGGCACTAAATAACAATGGTCAGCATCCCTCCCCAGATAGAGACATAGAAAAGCAAACTGGGTGAAGGGAAAGGGCCACACAGCCAGTGCTGGGGTTGACTCGCTACCACTAAGCTATTTATCCTGAGTCTCGGTTTCCTCATGTGTAAAACCGAGTAATAACCACATCTATACCTCTTAGGGTGAGGATTCCAGAAGATTCCATGTAAAGTGCTTAACACCATACCTGGGCCATAAATATGCATTCAACAAATGTTTCCCTATATTGTAGTTGCTACTGATGTGGTTACTGACAGTAGTAATATCATCACTGTTCTTTTTGTTTGTTTTTGATTTTTGGCTTTTGGTTTTTTTTGAGACAGTCTCACTCTTTCGCCAGGCTGGAGAGAAGTGGCGCAATCTCGGCTCACTGCAACCTCCGCCTCCCGGGTTCAAGTAATTCTCCTGCCTCAGCCTCCTGAGTAGCTGGGACTACAGGCATCTGCCACCATGCCCAGCTAATTTTTGTATTTTTAGTACAGACGGGGTTTCACCATGTTGGCCAGAATGGTCTCGATCTCTTTACCTCTTTACTGTTAGATTTTTATACAGTTTAATTTAGTTCAGGTACAACTAAAAAGCAATGCCTGAGAACTTACCTGAACAGATCAGAACCTGCAAGATCCGCAACCTAATCCTCACACTCAAAGTACTTAGAAAGTATGACTAGGTCAAAGATAAGAACATAAAGGACTATAATAAAAGAGCATAATGGAAAACATCCACTGAAATATAGAACTGTCAAAGTCGGAATAGTGGCATCCAATTTGAGAACAGAAAATGGAGCAAACAGGCCAATCATAAGGATATTTACACATTTTATATTAAATATAAAATACTTTATATTTGAGCAGCAGTTATATTTGCCTTCTCATGCATAACATAAGTAGGACATGAGTATTTAACGAATAAAGGAAATAAAGCTTAGAGAGTCTAAGTAATTTGCCCCAGGTCACAGAGTAAATATATGGCAGAGAAGGTTTTGAGGCAAAGTATACTCTTTGCCAGCCCAGTGTTCTAGTCCCTACACTGTGGTAATTCAGAGGGCATTTACAGCCCTAAAAGAAAACGCTGGACTCATTCCAGACCAAGTCTGCAATGTCTGACCATGGAATGATCTGGTGGAGAAGTACCTTTGTTCTAGAGAGTGCCATGCCCACAGGGTAAGTGTGCTGTGGGCCTCCCAGATTCAGTAGGTGCTAGAATAATCACACACCTGCTCAACTCTGAATACTCCGAATATCTGCACTAATGATGCATAGCCATCAAATCCATAATTTATGCCTACTTGGAAACTGGAGAGCTGGGCAAACCTGGTCATTGTGAAGCACAGCCAAAAAGCCTTTCTTTAAATATAAATTAGTTTCCAAATCCTAAATGCCAAGTGATGCCAGAAGAATAACTAAACAGTGAGGGTATCAAGACAGATTCTAAATGGAATCCCATATTTACCGTGGACTATCTGCGTCTTTGGGATAGGGCCCATATCCTCATGTCAAGTTGGGATAGCCTTTATATCCCATGAAAACAAGATTTTTTTTTTTTTTTTTTTTTGGTTTTTCAATCCCATTTGACAAGATTTGCCTGAGTAGCTATGCCACTTCAAGAAGCACTTCCTCTGCTTTTACTTCTTTTTCCCTACTCAGGCACAAGATCTTCAAGGATAAATTAGCATTTTCTACTTTGTAAAGCACACACCCAATAGTCAATGCTATTTATTGGCTGGCCAAAAACTGATCTACAAAGTCCATTATAAACATTTGTTGCTGCTACAGTTGTCATTGTTGTTAAGTAACGGTCCTCATCACTACTCTAAAAACTGGATTAAATACTCACTTCAAAGCAAAGAGTTCTGAGAACACCACATTCCCATCCCAAGATGTGTAACCAATTGTGGTTGGGAGGGGATTGAACTCCACCATCTCCTGAGTTACTCCAACCTTTCAACCTCTGCCTCTAATTGTCCTCATATAACTTTCACCTAGCAGAAGTACTGGCATGGTATCTGCTCAAAAAGAATGAAAATTTAAAAACAAGGGCCGGCCTGGAAGCCACAGTAGCCTCTTTTGGCAAAAATATCATGAGAGAGGTCAAGCAAACTGTTGAGTTAAATGACATTTTTAAAGCCAAATGTGAGGTTCTACTAGGAAACTCCCTGTCTCCAAGAAGCATAAACTCCCTTAAACATGCCAGTCTTCATGAACTAAATAAAAATGGTCACAACTCCATGGCTGCGAGGGCTCCATCATTTTTCTTTCCAAGTGAACTACTTTTTAAAAGATACCACGCAAACCCAGAAAAATCAAGTGCAAATTTAAGAATGTATTTTCTTGAAACAACATTACCAAAGCAGAAAACATATACAGGATAATAAAGCACCGCTTTTTAAAAAAAGAAAGTAGACTAATGTCAAGTGCTGGTTGAAATAATGAAAAAATTAATATTAAGGAAGGATAACCAAAGTGTTTGAGATGCTAACATTTCAAATCACTGATAAAAGGCAGGAAGTCAAAAGGTAAAGTAACAGAATGCAGAATTAAGGCCAAGGGTGAGAGAAACAGGAAAAGAACTGTCAGTATGAAATGAAGACATCTAGCAATCAGGGCAGCCCAACAAGGAGGTGGTCATCTCAGCCAGCAGCATGTTCCACCTTGACAGGTGGGAAAACTACAAACAGTGGACTGGGATGGGAGGACACAAAGGCAATCCAGGCATCAGGCATTGGATGAGGGATCAGGAGCAATCCCCTGGCTTCCCAGGTCTCTTCTAACCCTAAGATTTTCTAGCAAAGAGCAACCAGCACATATCCACAGCATCAGGTACAAATTGAACACTTTATTCAGGATACTAAATAAAGCCTCTTACCTCCTGAAGCTGAGATTCTTTCTTTTTGGAAGACAAATTCAAGTGTTTTTCTAAGATGCCACAATACTTTTCTGTCTCTTTGTCATACTTCTTTTTGGCTTCCTGGCAAAAAAAAAAAAAAAAAAGAGAGAAAAGAAAAAGAGTAACACGTTGCAGGAATAAAAGCAGCCTCTATCTCTCAAGATCACATATGATGACTCGGCTCCTACTTTTCAGGTAATGCCCATTAAATCCTGCAGCCACCCATCAACAGCCCCCTGTGTTTGAGTGTCTAGCAGAGAGGCATCAACCAGTACAAGACCAGAAATGAGCTAAATATGAATATTTAATGGTGGCAAAGCCAAGATTCCCCCTCTAAGAACTTTGTGAAACAGAAATTTCTACTTTCTAACTCACAAGGATATTCAAGGCCAGAAGGCAGCCAGGGGTTGGGGGTTGGGGGGTAGCAGCAGTGGGGGTACCTATGAAGCTAACACCAAGGAAGGAAGATCTCCTTACAGCCTGAATGAGACAAGTCTAGACTAAGGCTAGACCCAGCCTTAATACTGTTGAAAAAACACTTCTTGGTATGTAAGCCTAAATATCTCTTGACACTTAATATCGCATGCAGGTCTTTAAGCTGAGGAATAATTCAAAACAACAATATTATCTTCACACAAATTTGTTTACTATGGCACCATTTATGCCAGCAAAACAAAAATAAAAGCAACAGCAGCAACATCACTGCCAAGGATAACGTTTGGCATAAAGTATGAAACATCCAATAAGCATAACTAGTCACTGGAAAACTTAAGAGAGAAAAGTAAAATAGCATTATATAAACTTGCTACATCCTACATACAGTGTGTCTACCACCCATGGACAAAGATGAGGTGGGAATTTACTTATAGGAAAATACCTGAGTTATGGTAATGGGGTAACAGTTATTTTTTTCTTCTCTTTAAGAAATTATTGGCCGCATTATGCCTTCAAAATGAAAAAAAATTACCATAGTATACATATTAATCCCTGCTCCCCACCACTGAATCATTGGGTCACTATGGTTCTATTTCTATCTCCCATTTGACAGATAAGAAAACTTGCACCCAAAGAGGTGAACTTGTAAAAAGTCACAGAGAGTGACAGAGCTGGGATTGGAGCCCAGGACAATGTGCCTCCAAAGCCCATGTTCTCCACCACAGGTGAGACAGATTGTCACAGGCAGTCTGCCTTCCTTCCACATTCCAATGGGGAGAGCAGACAAGGAGGCTGGAAGAAGGTTGGCACCGGGCTGATAAACAGGATCAAATTCACTAATTAGGTACATTATTCCTGCTTTTGACTCCTGTGGAGCCCAAATCCATAGGGATGCTTTTCTGCAACTCCAAAGCCTAGAAGAGAAAAAATATTTTCTGGCCAAATAAGGAAGCTCAGACACATCTCTTTATTCCTTTAACAAATTTATAATCAGCAACCACTCTGTGTAAGGCTCTACTTTAGGCACTACAAATATAAGACAAAAATGGTCCCAACCCTCATGGTAGAAATGTTCTAGTAGGAGAAGCATGATTAACCAGTAAATAAATAATCAGCATAATTATAGACTGCTGCAAGCACTACAAAGGAAATAAACAGGGCGCGGTCACAGAGATTCTTTAGATAGCGCACCCAGGAAAGGCATCATTTGCGGGAGGGAGCTGTGAGCTGAGACCTACATGTTAAATACAGAAGGAGCAGACTAGAGCCTTCTAGAGCAGAACTGTCAAGTGCAAATGCCCTGGGGCAGAACACTCTGAGCCAAGAAGCCATCGCCCAGAGCCCTGACAAGCTCCGCCATGTCAGAATACCACTCATCTGGCACATGCTCACAGAGTGGGCAGAATAACCATATATCCATTTTAGCTGACATATACCCATTTCCATGAATCTGAGCTTTGCTTAAAAGACTGCTCATGTACAAGAACAATTAAACACTTAGCAGCAAATGAAGAAAAAGCCCGAGGACACATTACTCCTTCAAATTTGAGGAGGGTACAGGCAAGAGACTTGATTTAAGCAATTCTTTTCCATTAGTGAAACCAGCAACTTTGAACTGGGGCTCCAATTCCAAACGCTGCTCACATGTATCCACTCCCACCAGCCTTATCAGCAACGCCAAAAGGACGGTCCAGCTGGCCAGAGGTGAGAAAAGGCCAGGGAACATGAGTCACTGGCATTCTGGGACATTCTGGCAACTTGCGCCTCCACATTTCATGTTTAAGAGGACACCCAAAGTTCGAGAAAAAAATAAGGAGAAAGGGAAGCCACTTCTGTTCTGAGAAAAAAGCAATAAGACCTCTGCGACAACAAAGTACTACAGCTTAGATAATGTTCTTAAGATGGGAGAGAGTGTCCATTACTCAGGACACAAGATGGTTTTCACCTTCCAGAGAGTGTACTGTGGGGTAGTTAAGTCAAGGACTGAGTTAGAATCCTAAAATTTATTCCCAACTCAATATGGACTGGCTAGAAAACAAATCACCATCCCTCTCCAGGACTCAATATCCTTAACTAAAAATCGAGGATGATTAGATAATTGCTCAAGTTTCTTCTTTCAGCTCAAAGACCATATAATAAAATAAAAACAAGGACACCCCCTCCTCAAAGGATTTCTAGGGTTAAATGAAATAAACCACAAATAGTGCTTGGCAGGGTGCCTGCCACATGGAAAGTGCTCAATAAATGCCAGCAATGGTGGTGACAGTGGTGAGCTCATCACCTAAACCTGCCTCCTTCTTATCAAGAACACACCTGCTTTCTATCTCCCGTGTGCCATGAAGGTAACCCTCCCAAGAACCTACTACAATTGGAAATTATACATTTATTTAGATCTTTTTGTCTAATGTCTTTCACCCCAGTTACATCATAAGCATGGCAACCACACCTGCCTCGTTCTCCACCAAATATCAGGGCACAGAACAGTGCTGGCACAGAGCAGGCTCTCACATATTTTTTAAACGAATGAACTGAACCGTATGTATCCAATATAATCACTAACACTGAATGATTACATGACAAACATTGTTCTCGTGTTCAGGTAGCTATATGTTAGACACCGTTTTAAGCATTTGATAAGAGTTCGCTCACTTCTTCATAATAACTCTACGAGACAAGTTTTATTATTACCCCCATTTTAGAGATCAGGAAACAGGCATGAAGAGGTTCAGTAACCTCCCCAAGTCTACGTGCAAATGGCAGAAGTGAGATTTGGATTCAGACAGTCTAGCTGTAGACGCACTCTCTACGCTACTCTCTTATGTCTATTATACTTATTCCAGAGTCCAGCATTCCTAATGTACCTCTGATACAGGAAAAAATAATTTCCTCAAACTCAGAAATAGAAACTTACGGCCATGGTTATGTCAAGCACCATGGGTCGTGCCCTACTCCAGAGTAGCACATTAGCATAAGAATGCCCAAGAATCTTCCTCCCTGGCAGCCTTCACACGGTGCACGCTGCAACAGGCTGTTATGGCAACCAAAGCAGCACCAGAGAGTGGAGGAGGAGGAAAAAGTAATTTTAGCATGGCACAGGCAGAGTTCAGAACCTCCACTTGGCCAATACCAAAACCACCTGAAGAGCACTTGCTGGCTCTGAGATGTTCTTGAGACTACTCCCGGGGTCACCTAGAAGTAGATCTGCTGTTTGCTTGTATGTTTTCTCTTAAATTTACATAATGTTATGATATAAATGTATGTGTGTGTGGAATGATGGAAAGGAGGCTATGCTGGGGGAAAAAATGACAAATGGGGAGGGATGAGAAATCACCCAAATGTTATCACAATTCTTCTTTAATGATCATCCAGAAGTTATTTAATAATTGATCATTATTATGGTTTAAAGAATGGGAGAACAGAGTATGCATGAGGGGAAACATGCTTTGGTGAGTGACTATTTAAATTCTTTATCCTAATATATTACCATCTATACCCCCCATGGGGGACAGTACCTCCTCCTGTCATTAAAATCACTGGTATTAAGTCCAGAGGGAGCTCACTCAGACTCTTGCCTCACCTCCTTGGTAACCATGGTAACCCCCAAGCCAGTGAGAAAAGAGGCCAGAGTGAGAGGCGTCTGTGCTCAGAAGGAGAAGTAACTACTGAAAAGATGACTCGCTTGAACCTGGGAGGCGGAGCTTGCAGTGAGCCAAGATAGCACCACTGCACTCCAGCCTGGGCAACAGAGCGAGACTCCGTCTCAAAAAAAAAGAAAAGAAAAGAAAAAGAAAGAAAAGATGACTCAACAGACAGGTCTGATCTGCCTCGGTCTCAAAGCTCTGCATAACCCCTGGAAGCCACTGCCAAGCATGTTCAAGAGTGGGGAGGCTCCAGCCTGGGCAACAGAGCGAGACTCCGTCTCAAAAAAAAAAAAAAAAAGAAAAAAAGAAAGAGTGGGGAGGCACAGGAACCAAGGCCACCAAGAGGAGGCCTGCTGGCGGGGCCTGCGCTGCCAAGAACTGAGGGAGCGTTCGCTCACGGCTTATTATCTGCCATCACTGGACTGGTTCACAGTCTGTATGAATTCTTAGTGGAATAAGACTTCGTGCAAATTGTACATTCCTTAATCTCTGATACAACACCAGTGAGTTCCTACTTCCTCATAAATGTGTAAACTAAAACAAGTAGAAAAGTACTACTATAAAACCGAGAGACAATCTTTGCCACGGTCTCTCCTTCAAACTGTGATCAACCATCCCTCTGAAAGATCCTGACTAAACATCATCTTTTGCAGGCCCTAATCACATCTATTTCCAGAAAGCAGATGCACTTAGGGGTGTGTGTGTTGTAGGGGTAAGGAATACCTCATTTTGCAACTAAGTAAAATCCAAAGTAAGAGGGTGGTGTTGCCCAAAAGTCCCTGCAGGTGGCATAAGAGACTGCAGCTGAATTGACTCACAGTTCTAGAAAAACAGGAAGGAAATGTTGGAAATCTTTTTGCTTTCATTGATTCCAGTGAAAACATCTTCCCTGTAGGTGGCCTCTAACACTCTACCGAAGGTCAAACCGGCAAGAGTTTCTTTTTTTTTTTGACACAGAGTCTTGCTCTGTTGCCCAGGTTGGAGTCAGTGGCAAGATCTCGGCTCACTGCAACCTCCGCCTTCTGGGTTCAAGCGATTCTCCTGCCTCAGCCTCCTGAGTAGCTGGGAACTACAGGCACCCACCACCATGATTTTTGTATTTTTAGTAGAGACATGGTTTCACCATATTGGTCAGGCTGGTCTTGAACTCCTGACCTCATGATCCGCCCGCCTCAGCCTCCCAAAGTGCTGGGATTACAGGCGTGAGCCACTGCGCCTGGTCTTCCTTGTGATTTATTACAGGGCAAAAGAGCCCTGGAGAATCCACCTTTTAAAAAGGAACAGGATTCCCTTTGCAGTGTCTTAAGAACACACTAGAATTAGTCAAGCTTAGGTTACAGTCCCTCCAGGTCAGTGATAACAAACGGTGATCTCTGGGATGAAGCAGGCCTGCAGATGTCATTTTTCGACCTGCACAATGTGTAATACATATTTTAAAATTATTTGCCAACAAGAAATTTCACATAAAACTGGTTTTTCAGTTTGTCTTGAAACATTTAAAGAATCAGCAACAAAAGGCCCATTTCCAGACCCAAAAAAAATCAGCTACACCTAAGTACCAGCTGCCTCCCTTTAAAGAAAGTCCCTGTACCCACAGGGCACAAATTTGTAACCCCTGCTTAGGCTGCAAGTCCTGGACCTCCACAAAATACAATTCCACAAAAACAAATGTATTCTCCAATAAAGGCAATTGTCTAAGCACACAGCTATCTATTATTATAACACAAACGAGGTGTGGTTTATACCTTTGGATGATTTATGAACAAGTACAAAACAATTAGATAACAAAACACCAGAATGGCTGCTCCGGGGTTGACAGCTCACATTGTCGTACTTCAGTCACCCATAAAGAACTGATGAGTTGGGCTCCATAGAGTTCTCTGCCTAAGATTTTCTGAATAAGGTGGGCTTCGATTTTCTGAAGACATTCTTAGATTTTTTAAAGAAGGTGCTATGTTTTCCCGACCTCTCACCCTAAAATCCAGACCAAAGCTTGCAAAATTCTCACCTTGGCAGCCCCGATCTGTTCCTTTCGAAACTTCTCCAAGGGAGTGATGAGCACCTCGCTGGCATTCTCAATCTGGTGAAGAAAAACAGAGTAGCGGAAAGAAGACACAAAAGCAGTATCAGTAAAAAATTACAGCAGCTCCAGCACGAGATGCCTCCCCATGTCTTAAGATAAAACTTGGGTAGGCAGTGTTGTACGTGTCAACTGTTTACAACCCTTGAACTAATAGCATGTCAAATCAAAACTCATTATTTCAAAACATGATAATCTTCCTCCCATGCATGATTAATATTGATTCTTTAAAAGTAAAAATGAGGAACTCTAAAACTGTAAGCAACCATCTGAAGGGGCAGAGAGGAATTGGTGAAAGAGTGGGGTCTAAGTTACAAGCTTCAGGTGACATTTTCTTGCATATATTCATTTACCCAAGTTATAAATAAAACCTTTCAAGCCTGATTTTGTGTTGCTCTACCAAGATAGGACTAGACTAGAGCCAGGACACCTGTGGCTCCTGACTACTGGCTGCCTCTCAACTTCATCTCACAGGGCTCACCCCTCAGGTCCTGCATTCCAACCCACCAGCACTCCAATGCACCTCAAATGCACCAAACTTGTCCCACTTCAAGGCCATAGCATTTGGCTATTCCTTCAGACACTATGTTCCCAAACCCTTACAGGGACAGCTCCTTCATGTAATTAAGGTTTCAGCTTAAAGGTCACCTCTTTAGGGAGGCTTGCCTGATTACCAACATAACTCAACTTCCCTCCCCTACCAAGCATGTTCTGGTTCACCACTACACACTACACATTTATACACATATACATGCATACACACATACATAGACACACAGACACACACATATATATACATCAGTATCTTGTAAAGGCTCACTTTGCCACCACTATCCCCAAAACAAAGAAAAGTGCTGAGACAAAGGGGCACTCAAACATTTTTGAATGACTAAATGCATGAATGGATTATTTCTTGATTGACTGCCAACTGTGTGACCACGGGCAAAACATTTAACCTCTCTGGGCTCTGATTTCATCATCTGCAAAATGAGTGGGCTGAACTGTCCAGCTCTAAGATTCTATAGTCTTTTCTAAGGCAGTACAATATTTTACAGTTTTTTCTTTTAAGTCATTCATTTATCACTCTTTGCTCAACTAATTATTCCAGGAATCTCGCTGCAACAAAGCATTATTTTTCCTAAACCACACGCATGTCCACTGCAATGAAACTAACCGGGTAAATGCCAGAAGTCACAGATGGACACAGTAAAGAACTAACTGAACAATGTAAGGGACAGAAAAAGTCAAGTCTCCAAATTTATTCCCATTTGCCTTTTTCTCAATTTGGAGATCTCTTATTTCAGAAGAGTGAAATTTAAGCCTAGAGTGTTGTGGTGGTAATTTGTTTGATTTTGTTATTTTTATTGTTATTTGATGTTACTTAATCAGTTCACTTAAGACTTCTCCACAAACCATCTGCAAGTCTCTGAAGCTCACAAAGGTGGGCCAAGCCCCTAAGTCAATGATTCTCAACCTTAACTACACAGGAGAATCACCTGGAAAGCTTTTAAAATTCCTATGTTTAGGCTACACTCCAACTAACTCAGAATCCCTGGACTTATTTAGTCCAAGACATCAGTATTTTTCAAACTCCCCAAGTTAAATCCAGTGGACATCCATGATTGAGAATGCAGTCCCAAGTAGCCGATTATAATATGAAAGTGCTCATCTGCTCACCTGGGAATCAGGATACCCAAGTCCTTCTCCCAGCCATACTACTACTTGCTATCAGCCTTAATAAGACCTGTTTTCTCATCTGTCAAATGAGCAATTGCAGATGGTGAGGAATAAGGTCCCACTTAGTCTAAGATTCTATGACTGTGTAACATCCACTTGGTTCCAACACTGCCTGATGTTGGGGACATGGAAGCCCATTCTCCGCGTTTGAGGAACTCATATTTACTATAGGGCACAGACAGGTACAATGTTTATCAGGACACAATGTGGTAAACACAGGATCAGAAGCATGAACTGGATGTTAGGAAAATACCAAGGGTAGCCATATAACCCAGGAAGTCAAGAAAGGCTTCCCAGAGAAGGTGCAGCTTTGCTTGCTGAGTTTAACTGAACTGATGAAGTTGTCACAGGGCAAGGCGGTAGAGAAGGAGCTTGCAATGGCCACATACTCAGATGCAGACAGTAGAAACTCAATTCACTGACATTAATAATAAAATTGCAGAGGCAAGCTGAAAAGTATAATCCAGTCATTGTTCCCTTACCACAGGCCATAGCAATCTGCAGGGTATTCATAGTGATTTGCTTACCACACCCCCACCCCCAAATACTAACTCAGCCAAGAATCAGACTCAAAAGAATCATTTCCCTTTCTCAGGCACCAGCACATGCACAAACACACAAGCTTTCCCTTGCTTCCACCCACCACCAACCCCCACTGCTGCCACCACCACCCTTCTGATTCTGGTTCAGGCACCAGCAGTGAGCAATCAAGAGAAACTGCTCTTTCTGTAGGGCAGAAGGTAAGAGGCTTCTACTCTGTTTGGAGTTTTAAAGGAATCCTCCTTTTTTTTTTTTTTTTTTTTTTTTGACACAGGGTCTTGCTCTGTTGCCCAGGCTGGAGTGCAATGGTGCAATCACAGATCACTGCAGCCTTGACCTCCCTGGCACAAGCGATCCTCCTACCTCCTCCTAAGTAGCTGGGACTACAAGCATATGCCACAATGCCAGGCTACTTAAAAAAAAAATTTGTTGAAATGGGGTCTATGTTGCCTCCAGACTGGTCTTGAACTCCTAGGCTCAAGCAATTATCTTACCTCAGCATCCCAAGGTGCTGGGATTACAGGCATGAGCCATGGATTACAGGCCATTACCTGGCCCCCACATTTTTTAATATAAAGCAGTCTTGGGTTTGAACCCAGACTGTACCACTTATTAACTGTGTGATCCGTGACAAGTTACTTAACCTCTGTAAACCTCAATATCTTCATCTAAAAAATGGCGATAATACAGATACCACTTCCCAGAGTCATCACGAGGGTTAAAATAGAAAATGCATGTAAAGTACTTGGCTACATAATGTCTTGGTGAATAGTGTTCAAACTACCAACTGTTAGCATGGGAAGAGAAGAAAATGTTGATTGATGCAGGATTTCCTAGGACTTTGGCGCATTGCTGCCTGAAGACACGCCCTCCTAGTGGAAAATCAGTGGACAGGCAGCAGGGGACTTCAAGTCAGCAGGGGACTTCATTCCTCATATCTTAGGGATATGGAGGAAAATGCAAAGGAACTTCCTGTAGATGTGGAATCTCTTATCTGCTAATGCTGAACTGTATCAGAATAAATTACAGGCTGGGCACGGTGGCTCATGCCTGTAATCCCAGCACTTTGAGAGGCAAGGCAGGAGGATCACTTAAGGTTTGGAGTTTGAGATCAGCCTGGGTAATACAGCAAGACCTCATCTCTACAAAAAAACAAAAATAAATTAGCTAGGCACAGTAGTGCAGACCTATAGTTGCAGCGACTCAGGAGACTGAAGCAGGAGGATCGCTTGAGCCCAGGAGTTTGAAGCTACAGTGAGCTATGATGGCACCACTGCACTCCAGCCTAGGTGACAGAGTGAGGCCCTCTCTGTCTGCCAGAACAATAAATTCTAGTACAAAAGATATCTCTTAAGAATCTGGAGATCAGCATTTGACTCTTAAATGTGGACAATGCCTCTCTTGAAGAGCCTTTTATAGTTACCTTCATTACAAAGTACCTGTTTACTGGGTCCCTCCTACCTGGCAGGCACTGTGTTGGGTGCTTAAAAATGAAAAGCAAAGGCCGGGCACGGTGGCTCATGCCCGTAATCCCAGTACTTTGGGAGGCCGAGGCAGATGGATCACGAGGTCAGGAGATCGAGACCATCCTGGCTAACATGGTGAAACCCTGTGTCTACTAAAAATACAAAAATTAGCTGGGTGTGGTGGCGGGCACCTGTAGTCTCAGCTACTCGGGAGGCTAAGGCAGGAGAATGGCATGAACCCAGGAGGCGGAGCTTGCAGTGAGCCCAGATCACACCACTGCACCCCAGCCTGGGCGACAGAGCAAGACTCCGTCTCAAAAAAAAAAATGAAAAGGGAAGTGATCCCTGTGCTCAACGGGCTCTTGATCAGGTTCAGTAAGATGGGGGGAGGGGCAGAGTGAGGCACCTTCTTTCTCATTCTGCTGGTAGAGAATCTGAGGCCCAAAAAAGTGAAATAATTCAAAAGATCCACCCTTAAGTCATACACCTTATGAAAAGACCTTAAAATGAATCTTCAGAAGAACGTCATTTAACTACGTTGTTCTAAAGTTATCCACCAGAGTAATCCTTTAATATTTACAAAAGGCTTCAAACTCTACAAAGATGAGGCTTGCTGAAGAGCTCAAAACACTCAAATGGCAGAGTCTGGATTTGAATCTAGTTCCTCTGATAACCAATCCCTCACTCCCTCAACATGAACATACTATCTGGGACCAAGAGTAGCCCAGCCCTACTCACCATCCGTATCCGTTCATCTTCAAGATTCCTGAGGACAGTGGCAAACTCCTGCAAAGATCTTGCTGGAAAAGAGAAAGGGGCCATGAGGCGAAAGGAGTGTCACAGGTCTTGGGGAGCCTTTCCAGCTCTGGCTATTATGTTATGGATTTTAATTCCTTGGCACACACAGATGCCTAAAGTCAATTGCTTCCCAAGGCTCCCTTCATCTTTTTAATAATTAACCATTAAGGATGACCCAGAAATGCAGGTTAATTCCACCTGGCACTCTAGCTAGGAAATGATTTCTTCAAGGAAAAGATCTGTCTGTTCCTGAGAGTACCCAGGACTGGTGAGATGCTGGCAGGCTTCCAGGCCCCAGGCTGGAAGGGGCAGAGTTCCGCTTAGGAGTTGAAGGATTTCCTGTCCAGATTCGACCTCCTCAACCTTTGTCATGGTGTTGCGTCAGAACCCAGCCTTTTCTTTGGCACCAGAGCTAAACAAACAGTGCTGCTGGCATTGGAAGCCACATCTCTGGCTTCTCTTTGGGTTCCTCCTCTCTGAGTCCTCAAGCCACTCATTAATAGAATGCAGCTTGAGGCATGATGCTCACACATGAACAGTCATCTTTGCCAAAACTATTCACAAAAGCAATAAGCACTATGTGCAGTGGCCCTGAGGATACTTGAGACCCTTGAGCCATGTTGGGAAAAGCATCCATACATTCACAAGTTACAAGGATGCGTTTTCACCACCCTCAGCTGTCTCCCAATTGCCTGTGCCAGCTCCAGATGCTGATGTTCTGCACCGCAACAGGAACTCAATAAGCATTTGAAGAATTAATTCATCCAATAAAACTTTCTCAATTCTTGCCCATTTAATGGAGTCAACCAAGGCGCCCATAGAAGAACAGTGTGCAATGACAAGGCCCTGGCAAAGAAAGGTGTCTTGACATTGCAAATCCTCCATGCTTACAGCTGCCTACAGATCAAGGCAGGTGATGGTGAAGAGTGAAGCAACACACCGTGGTGATAAACAGTAACCCACCTCAGCCTTTTTTAAGGAAACAGGAGAGGCAGGGACCTCCCTGTAGACAGCACAGGAGAACCCGACATGGAGCTCCTCTCCCTATCTGAAGGCAGTGGCAGATGCATAGCTCAGCCAACTGCTGCCAGGTCAGAAGAGGGGGCCAGTAGATCAAATTCTCAAACTTTTTGAAGAAGCTGGAAAACTGGAATTTTATATTATGAATTGAATTTGTATGGTCATTCAATTTTAAAAAATGAGAGCCAAAGAAAATTGGGCTGTGTTCTGATCTCAGCCTATCATTTTGCAACCTCTGATCTAATTTTGCCCTCATCTACCTGTGTTCTACATATGCTCTAAGCTTAGTACTGTGGTTGGAGGGAAAGAATGTCACCAGTCAGAAAATCACTAAAGGGAGGTGGAAAGGAGAGTCCCACCACAAAACTTCAAGCTTTCTCTCCTGCAAGCTAGAGGGTGAGGCAATCCCAAAACTCAAGAAGACCAGAGTAGCCCCGATCCTCACATATTTCTGGCCCTCCACTTCCACTAAGCACTTCCTTCTTTACTAACCTTAGAGACTTCCTATCGCAGGAAAAAGGCTCTGCTGGGACACTGAAGGCTACGACAAACAATGAACATTTTTATCTTCTGCATAGTTATGACTTACCTATACACATCTCATCATCTGTTTCTGCATCTCCTATGCACTGAAATTTAAATTCATTTAAGGAATCTGCAAACTTCCGCTTCGCTGAAGACAAATCTAGCAAGAAAAAGACAGGAAAAATCAGGAATTACTAAAATTAAACTGGCTTTCTGATTTGCTGCCCGTATTGGTCCTTCTAGGAATATCTTAGGAGGCGAATTTTTTCCTGAGTCCATTTCAAAGCACAAAAGAATATAAATTCAAAATAGCCAACACTTGGTTATAACATGAAGCACTGATTTGTTCTAGAAGTTAATATTTTTGTTATATTGGCTTTAACAATTCAAGTTCTATCTCTACTTCCTAAAGGCAACTTGTCATCTCCATCTGACATGTGGGAATCCACTTGCCAAAGGAAGTTGGGGAGAAAGCTTGGATCAGAGCCAACCTTAGTGTCCACAGCCTGCAGGTCTGCTCTGCTACTGACCCTCCAAGCAGTCAGTGCAGCTTTCCCCACACGTATGACTCAACAATAATTTCCCCTAGGTCCTACTCACAACACAAACTTTCACTAGGGAGGGAGCCTGGAGAAGGCTGGAAGGAGGGGCTGGGAACTGCCCTACCCACAGTACCTGGCCTTCCTCTTCTGACTCAAGCATAGGCAAGGCCCAGGTTCTCACAACCCTCTCCACTCTTCTCATGAGCAGAGTGGACTGCTGGCCTGACAAAGCTCACCTGAATTTTCCTGACTGGCCACATCCAACACCACCAGGAGAACAAAGCCCCTGCAATGTTTTGTATTAGGGTAAAAACACATTCCACACACAGTATCCATAAGAAAAACTCTCAAGGGCCCTTATCATTAAAAAATCATCATCATAAGCTTTCACTGAAGATAGTAATGAAAGCCAACGATCCTTCCGAGCCTTCAACTTCTCTTAAGGGTATGAAACCACCAAGGTACCTTTAAGTGGACTGGCAGATCTGGCTGCTGAGGACAAATGTGCTTAACTTAATTCCATGTGCAGTCTTCCTGCAGATTAGGCTAATCATTCAAATTACCCTCATACATGTTTCCCTCATTGAAGGGGAAATGGCATTATGTCCAAATGCCCAGGGGAGGGAAACATGAGGCAGAACCAGCAACAAGGCCTGGCTTTAATAAGATATGGGCGGGGGGTGGGGAGGGGTGTATTGTGGCTACACAGATCAACATAACCTACTAGAATAAAAGCATCCGTGACTCCCAGTACTTTTCTTAGCTCCTGGATTTGTCCCTTGAGGTTAGGGATCGTGTTTTCCCATCTTTCTCTTTGGTTTGGTTTGTTTCCTCTGTGTACCTGGCAGTGCATCCTGCTCAGTGTATGCTGAATAAATGTGGGGGGTGGTGGAGGGGCACTGGATACAAATCCAATCCTCAGTGCTCATTCCAAGCAATGGCTGCTAGTGGAAGAGCCGGGCGTGGGCTGTGCTGCTGTTCTCAGGACCAGGGCTCAGGCTACTGCATGGACAGCAGCTGCAGCTCCTACTCCTGGACTGCCCTCCCACACGCTGTGATGACACGGTCCTGAGCTAGCTGCAGCTTGTCCAAAGCGCTCTGCTCTACACCAAAAGAAGGCACTTGGGGTGGAGAAGGGGAACGCAGGAGCCAACAGTCTCTGATCTCCCCCTTGTTCAGTCACTTGCACAGAATGGTCCTTACCAAAATGTCAAAAGATGTTGGCAGGGGACTCAGGCATCTCACAAAACTGGCCAGCCCAGGCTGAGGCTATCCCTCAGAACACAAATCACAAAAGGCAAACCAAGAAGGGAACAGATGTACCCGAAAGCCAGAACATCGTGGGGAGGAAGGCAGGAGGCGGCCACAGGTAGACACGAGAAAAAAGGGAAAGAATAACATTTTAAAGTAGAAGACAATGTTCTATTAGAGTCCCCAAATGTGTGTGCATCACATGTGGGTATGGTTATGCACATTCCTATTTTAGTCAGAATGTTCCCTGATCAGAACTCACAAAGGTCTGCACTAAGAGTAACACAGGTTTGCCTTTCTACCCACCTGACAATCCTGTGCCTCCCCCATAAGCAAGAGAAACTCAATCACCTCAACAAAGTGGAAACAGGTGAAATGCAAGTCAGGCTCGGGAAAGCTCCCAGCACACACCTGAAAAGCCGCACTGCCAGTGAGGATCAGGGAGTGGCTGGTCATGCACAACGGGGCCTTTGTGAGGCTTCTGCACAGGGGGACCCGCTGAACCAGGGCAGGGCCTGTTAGCTTATGGTGACCTGATTTCCTTGTCCACTGGCACAGAGCACACCCTGCCACAGTGCAAGCCTGAGAAGCAGTGAGGACTCCATGAAGCTGAGGGAGAGGCCGATCCCCCGATAGACGATTAAGTAATGACTGCTGGTATGGAGTCAATATTGGGCTTCAGGTAAACGAGGAAAGCTGGGTAGAATGAGAATCGTAATGAATGGACCTGAAAAAGGAACTCACCTCAGGCTTGATAAAGGAATTTTTCAGTAAAGTTAAAGTGGACAGCTGTCCTTTTACTTGTTTGGAATCCATTCCCCAGACTTCGGGACAGCATCTCAAGCTTGTTTTTGAGAACCTCCCTTCTCCACTTGAATTCTATGGGGTGGTGGTGACAGGCTGATCAACCCCAACCCCTTGCCCCCACCCCAATCCCACAGCTCCTGGGTTCAAGTTCTAGCTCCACCATAGATCAGATATGTAACCAACCCTGGGTTAGTCATAAAGTGTCAGTTATCTCATCTGACGGAGGCTGTCAGCCTGGGGGTTAGGCAGGGAGGATCCAGTGAGACATACTTTATAGGCACTTTGCACATCACAAGATTCAGTTCTAGGTATAGCTGGGCTGTTCTTTTCTCATATATGAGTCCTCCAGTAAGAGGAACCAGGAAAGGTAAGCATGAATAACTGTTTGGAGCTTGGAGAAGTTAAAGGACTGACATAAGAGCACAAGGCCACTAAGGAGAGGACCTGTGACTTAAGTCCTGTGAACTGAGATCCTTGTAGTATGTGGGAACACCATACCACTTCACCCCATTGAGGTAAACCCTCTATGTTACTTGACAGAATGAAAACAACACTAAAAAGATAATTTTCTACCTAAAAAACCATTGCTTCTTGCCTATTTCAACCCAGTAGGATTGGTGGTATCTTTTGTAGATTTTCACCTTGGATATGCAGCAGCCCAAAGATTTATTTCAAGAGCTTTCCCTCTGATGCACGCAGGAATCTAACACACACATTCCAGTAAGAGGAGAGGGAAAAGAGAAGAGGCTGGCACTGGGTGCATGCCAAGCTTCGTGGCACCCTCCTCATATAACCCTGCTGTTTCATGTACAGGCAGTGCAAGACACAGCAAGGAGCCAAGCAGAGTCAATAATATTTACTTTGCAGAAACATCTGTTGCTAGAAAAGCAGAATGCTGGCCAGAGTGGAGGGAAGTCATAACTGCCGGCATCTGGGGAGGCCAGGTATCTGCTTTCCAGAGTAGGTAGGGCTGTGCTGCTCTGAGTGAGGGGACCAGATGGCTAAGAAACATGGAAGCAGCTAGAAGTTTGGGCCTTGAGAGACTGCTCCAGAAGCCACCTGCTCACTCAGGGACTAGAGGAAAGTGCCCTTCTTTTCTTGGAGACGCCAGTGGATACTAATCACCGGATTTAAGAAAATTTAACCCAAATAGATCCATTTTTCACTAACACAGAAGGTTTACCATATTTTTTTAAAAATTAGAATCTACCTTAATTTTATACAAGTTGCACCAGTAATACAAGTCAAGCCATTTCCTTTTTCTCCTTGGGTAAAACTTAACATACATGTGCACACACAAACATGGACTCAGGTAACCTTACAACTGTATTTTCAGTGTATTTCTATTGCCTTTGTGACCTCCAAAGTCACCAAAATTGTGTATTAACTACCCTGAAATGTTTTGCTGCTCAGTCACATCTTTCTCTTTGGACTTAGAAAGTGATTACAGTTCCGGGAGGCCAAGGCGGGTGGATCATGAGGTCAGCAGTTCGACACCAGTCTGGCCAACACAGTGAAACCACATCTCTACTAAAAACTAAAAACACACAAAAAAAAAAACCTGGGTGTGGTGGTGTGCACCTGTAATCCCAGCTACTTGGGCAGGCTGAGGCAGGAGAATCTCATGAACCTGGGAGGCGGAGGTTGCGGTGAGCCAAGGTTGCACCATTGCACTCCAGCCCAGGTGACAGTGTGAGACTCCGTCTCAAAAAAAAAAAAAAAGAGATTACAGTTCAGAAAGGCCATCACTGAGGTTAGAACTTGCAACAGGATTGGCCTTGTGGCTGCCTAAAGCATAAGAACACCAAAGTCCCCGGGCCTTGTTAATCTCTCCCTTTCCTGGACGCCAGTTACTCTCTGTGCCTCATCACCTTGTATTTGGAATAATTCTGGAACTATTCATGAATGGCTTCATGTCACGAAGCACAAAGAGTGCCTCGGACAGGGCTGGACACAGTGTCCCTCAAAACCTGTTGTACTGATGTGAGTGGGCAAGGAAACACAAGCTGGCTTACAGGTGGAACACCTGAGAGTCCCCAGAGAGGACCCATGACAGAGAGCTGAGACATGGACAAGAGCCCCAGAGAGACTTCAGGTTTAGCTCACACCCCTATTCCTAGGTCAAACTCAACACACTCAGAACCAAACTCTCTCTACTCAAACACCCTCTGCCACCCTCTCCCCAGAGAGCCAGCCGAGGGCCTCTTCCTCATCCCCAGTGTGATGAAAGGCACCGCCGTTCACCCTGCCACACAAGTCACCAGTGCATGTCATCCTCTCACACGTCAGGCTCCTTCATGTGCCATGTCCATTCCCAAGTCTGTCCATGTTGTCTCCTAAGCACGTCTCAATTCTGCCCACTCCTTCCCATCACTATCAGCAACCCCTATACAAAACACTCCATTTGCCTACATAACTGCAACTGCCTCCTCTCTGGCCTCCCCACATCCACTTCTGTCCGTCACATCAGTTCTCCACCCAATTACGTCAACACCAGCAATGAGCCCTGTGATGGCTTCCCAGAGGCTGGAGGTGAAGACAAAAGTCCCTCCCAAGGCCT